CTCTCTTCCTTTCCTCTCCTACCTATCTTTGCTTGTTTCCTCTTTCTTCTCTTTACAATGTTAAATAAAAATTTCTTCCAAAAAATTGTGTCCTTATTTTGTTTAACTTGCTTGTTTATTTTACTGTTTTGGAAAGGAGGGAGGACAAGTTCTTCTGGGATACAAAAACACACCTACTTATCCAATATTTGAGTGAGAACTGTACACCAGCCGCTTTTGTGAAAGGTCTTCTTTTTATTTGCTGGTGACAGGTGGGAAGAAAGGCAGGTTTGCTCTGGCAGTGAGGAGGGGAGGTCAAGGAATACACTCATTTGCCCCACCTTAGATTCTCCAGATTCTTGGCATATTTAGCATCTCTTCCCCTGTGCCCTGTTTTTTTCTTCTCTGTATGTATTGTAATATGAAAGATACCAAACTAAAGAGAATCAGATTTATCTTGCTGTAACTTTTTAAAAAAAGTTTCTTCTGCCACAAGGCTTAAAGAGCTGTGGAAAGAAAAAGGAAAGTTTGTATTTCTGCCACACAACTGAGAATAGCAACAAAATGCCCGGTGTAATTCGCCCTGGGATGTGTGTTTGATAGGCCCTCATGACTAGAAAGGGAAGGGAAAAGGAAAGAAGGAATGTATTGTATGTGTTGTGTCTTATTGCTAAAGTTGCAGTTGTGATCTTTAGCAAATCTAACTGATCCTGGTGGAAGTGGGGAGAGAGCCAAACTTTGGTCTCTCCCTGCTGGAAGGTAGGACAATCAAATAGGAAATGGATGCTACTCAAAGAGTTCAAGGTAAGTTTTCCATGTGTAGCAATGTGAATGGTTGGCACCGTGATAGCACAGGGATCCTCACTGAAATATTAGCTTCAGGCACAGAGATCCAGGGAACTCCCTCATCCTTTTCGTCACATGAAAGTATAATAACTTGATCTACTTGATCCCTCTAGGCCTGAGAAGACATGTGCACTTTTGTTCTACTGAACATTACCTCTTCCATAATTCTGCTAAACCTTGAGTTGAGGTAAGAGGATAAAGAAAAGGAGTGATTGGGGCCGGCCCAGTGGCGCAGCAGTTAAGTTCGCACATTCCACTTCTCGGCGGCCCGGGGTTCCCTGGTTCGGATCCCAGGTGCGGACATGGCACTGCTTGGCACGCCATGTTGTGGTAGGCATCCTACATATAAAGTAGAGGAAGATGGGCACGATGTTAGCTCAGGGCCAGGCTTCCTCAACAAAAAGAGGAGGACTGGCAGTAGTTAGCTCAAGGCTAATCTTCCTCAAAAAAAAAAGAGAAAAGGAGTGATCTATGAAAAGTTCATTCTTTTCAGCTGACTGGAAAGGGGAAAAGAGCTTAGAGATGTTTTGCTCTAGCATAACTTGGGAGTCAAGGGTAGTAAGTAGTAGTGGATTGTATGACTAGATTTCCTCTTTGAGTTTTTTCTGTATGAAAAAGTAAAATTTATTGTTCTAACAGAGTAGCCTAGTCATCTGACGGAATTCAAATTCAATAAAGAATAATGTCTGCAAGGTCAGGCTGCTTGATGTTCATCAGTTTCCTCCTGAAAACTGGCTTACATTGGGAGGTCCTTGCCAGGGATCACAGACAAGTTCTCTGTTTTCTTTTGATAGTTTTCAGTAAAGGAGCTGGAATAAGGGAGGATTAGGTGGTCCTGTTTCTGGAAATGGGAGGAAGCAGTCTCAGAGTGGGGAGGGTGTTGAAGGAGTCGAGAGAGAAGGTGCTTAGCATGTAATAGATAATTATTGAGAGCACAAGGTTTTAGAGGGAGAAGGACAGTATTAACTCCTCTGAACTGGGCGACATTTAACCTCTTTGTGCCTGTTTCCTGATGGTAATCAGAGAACCTGGAAGGGTTGTTTGAGGTGAGAATCACCACATGCAAAACCTAAACCATCACAGAAATTCTTTAAACAAATTTAGTAAGAGCCTGCTGTGTGCCTAGGCCTGTTTTTTTGTTGGGGTAAACAAGACAAAGTCCCAGCCTTTAAAGAGCTTACATTCTGGTGGCCCTCAAACAGTGGTAGTTACTGATTTGAGGGAAACCTAAGTAAAATGGAATTAAGAATGCCGGGGATAGGCAAAAACCTGCATCAATTACTGATAATGCAAAAACGTAATGGCAAATCATTGCAAGTTCCATTCTTTTTCTTATAGGGAAAGTGCTGATCCATATTAATAAATGATGCTCAGAGGATTCAGCTACAAGTGTTTAATATACTCAATTTGTCCATCAGCCTTTGCTGAGGAGCTGCATTGTTGAAAATCCACCTCCAGACTAAGTCTGTCTCTTGCCGCCTCCATCTTCTCATAATAGCCAAACATCTGTTGCCTCAACTTGTAGCCCTCTGTTAAGCCAGTGAGTAGAGGCAGGTGTATTTACTTGCCTCTCCCACAGGCCTTCTTTCCTAATAGGTCTGACCTACCCAATGGGAAGTCTGGTTCATCCATCTTCCCCTAGTTAAAATGAAGTCTTTAGACCCTTTGAGCCGTCATATTGGTTTAATGTTTTCCTGTGGACAGCCAAGGCTTAAAGAGCATTTTCCTCTCCCATTCTGGGCTTCCTTTCCTCCCCTCTCCTAGAGAATAACCAAGATGTAAAAGGAATAGCACCCTCATTGCTTGGGGTGCTTAAGGCTCTTCTGAACATACCTTGAAGGGCCACCAGGCTGGTGACCAGCATCACCCAGACCTTTTCTTGCAGGAGGCCTGAATTGAACGCGCCTTTACTATGGCTGAACTCACGGTGTCCTCCTTGTTTCAGTCCTGTCACTGTGTAGTTCCCTGTCTCTGGTTCAAAAGAGAATCAGTGGATCAGGGGAGGGTTTCAGAAATCATTAATGGCTCTTTTTGCATCATCTCAGAGCATCTTTTTATGATCTCCAAGGATACTTCTTAGCATAATTTACTGCCCAAATATGTATTTTTTTTAACATTTGTGGGTGATGACGATGATGTACTTAAGCAGCAATAAATAAATACACTAGAATCTACTGTGTGTCACACTTGGGATACAAATAAGCCTACCTTAAAGGAACTCTAAATATAAAGTCTTACCAGAGACACAGCAAAAATAGCTTAATCGCCTTGGACTTGGTGTTCCCAAATCTCAGTTAAAACCCATCTTCTGGAGTGGGTCAAGCAGTTTCGCCTAAGTTAAAAGGTTGGGCTTTGGAATAGATCTGGATTTTTTTTTTCTTCTCCCCAAATCCCCCAGTACATAGTTGTATATTCTAGTTGTAGGCCCTTCTGGTTGTGCTGTGTAGCATGGTGCCACAGCATGGCTTAACAAGGTGTGCCGTGTCTGCGCCCAGGATCTGAACTGGCGAAACCCTGGGCTGCTGAAGCAGAGCGTGCCTACTTAACCAGTTGGCCATGGGGCCATCCCCTAGATCTGGATTTTTAGCCACCATTTACTAGTTAAGTGAACTTACACAAATTTTACCTTTGAGCCTGAGTTGTCACATGACAAGAATAGTACCTTCCTCAAAAGGCAAGGAAGGTTAAATGAAATAATGTATCACTCAGCACACTGCCTGGCACATAGTAAGCACTAAGTAAATGGTAGACATTGTTTATTGGTACTGTCTGTTACCTGTCTGGTTTTATTAGTTTCACCTTCGAAAAGGAACTTTACGTCCACGTCTGGCGAGCATCCATATGTGCTGACTCTAAGACTTAAACATGCTGAGAGGATGAGAAAGGCATTCTTTCTTAGGGAGAACAAGTAGAAACGCGTAGGATGTATTAAAGAACATGAACACTAGATTATAAGGACTTTGTTGTACCCCCATCTATTCTCCAAGGCTTAGCACTGTGCTTGGGATGCACAATAAATATTTGTTAGATGAATGAGGAGTTTCCACTAGTGAAGTTAACTGGAAGAGAGTATTCACATAAATAATAGAATGAAATTATTTAGAACCTCCAGTGCCAGGCTAAAGTAATTTAGACTTTGTCCCATAGGCAGTGAAAAGACATTAAAATTCTTTGAATGGTGGTATGTGCAAATTAGCATTTTAGAAAGGTGTCTGGTGGCAGTGTGTATTGGAGGCAGACAGAGTATTTAGAGTTCACGGACCATGTATTAGGTAATAGCTCAGTGTCAGGCCCTGAGGTAGGTGTGGGAGATAGAAAGATGGGTAAGACTCGCTTGGATCTCAAGGGGCTTACCAGTTAGGAGACTATTGCACATATTTTAAGTGTGAGATGATGAAGACGTGGAAAACACCTTTGGAAAGAAAGGAGTGAATGTGGGAAAGAACTAGTAGTACTTAGTAACTGGATGGAGGAAGAGAAAAAAGGAGGGACCAAAGTTTTGACCATAAATCATGGATAGAAACAGGGTCTCAGGAGGATAGGTTTGAGTTTGCGTTTGAGGAGATGGTAGGGTATTCAGGAGCTAGGAGTCCCGTTGTCAGTGGAAATGTTTAGTTGAAACTTAGGAAAGAGGTTAGGGCTGGAGAAGTTGATCTGTGGGTCAGTTGCAAGGAGATGTACATCTAAGTCACAAGGGTGGGTGAGAACTTGGGAGAGAGTGGCAAGAAAAGATTGAAGAGATGAAGAGTGAGTCTTGGGGAATGAATTCTCATGTTTGAGGGGTGGGAGGAGGAAATAGGTGCAGAAGAGAGAAAAGAACAGCCAGAAACGTAGAAAAGAGTACCTAAGCCAATAGAGATGCGAGTTTGCTAAGGGAGAGAATGGAACTGCTGAATGCTGTAGCTGGGTCAGATGGGAAGACACCAGGAAGCAAGGAAGAAAATATAAATCAACCCAGACTGAAGTAGAAAATTTGGATTAACTGGTTAGTAACCATAGGAGATGATGAAAACATCTATTAAAAGGCTCCGGGCCAGGTTTTCTTTGGGGGGAGGGGTGTAATTTATATCTACTTTTCTTTAAGTTCAAAAGTAAGATAGTACGGAGCTGGCCTGGTGGTGTAGTGGTTAAGTTTGCGTGCTCTGCTTTGGCGGCCCAGGGTTCGCAGGTTTGGATCCTAGGCGCGGACCTACATACTGCTCATCAAGCCATGCTGTGGTGGCATCCCACCTACAAGAGAGAGAAAAAGTGGCACAGATGTTAGCTCAGGGACAGTCTTTGTCAAGCAAAAAGAGGATTGGCAACAGATGTTATCTCAAGGCCAATCTTCCTCACACACACAAAAAAAGGCAGATAGTATTTGCAAGTTCATAAAGACTGCTAGCAGTTCCTTTTATCCTCCTAGGCTTATTCCTCAGAGACCACCATGGTCAACTCTTTGAGATGTTTCATCATATTCCTAAATAATATGCTCATGTTACTACTTCTTGATGATGAAGTTTAGACATTATTTACAGTCATGTGTCACTTAATGATGGGAATATGTTCTGAGAATACATTGTTAGGCGATTTCATTGTTGTGCAAACATCATAGAGTGCACTTACACAAACCTAGATGATACAGCCTACGACACACCTAGGCTATATGGCATTAACCTTATGGGACCACTGTCATATATGTGCTCTGTTGTTGACTGAAATGTTGTTACGTGGCACGTGACTGTATTGACTTTCTGATATACAGGATGAGGATATGGTTCTCTTAAACCTCTAGTCACTTCCCTCCTCTGCATCTTTCAAAAATCATTATATCACAAATTTTAGTTAAATTAATGTTTACATAATTTGCATTCTGTAAATGTCACATATTACAGAGCCAAGTTGTGTGCTATGATCATGTTTCCTTTCGTAAAATTTAGTGTTTTCCCTGAAGACACGATCACCCGATTTTTTAAAAACTGGTAGAGTTTTCCACGTCCATATCTGTAGTCCTTCATCAGATCTGATGTAGGCTTTCAGAAAGATGATCGATCAATTCCATTTTCACCCCCTAGAGATCTTCCTTCCGGCACCCTCTTTCTCTTGCTGTCTTCTGAACAATGCTCTTTTTGGCCCTTTATTATTCTAGAATTTCCTCGTCCCCTTTCTCTACTAGATTCCTTATTTCTTGGATCCCGTTTTATATACTCTACTAATTCACTTTCTTGTTTTACTGAAGCACATTTGGTAGCTTCTTAAGAAAGACCACGTGGAAGATGAATTTTTTTGTCATTGCATGTCTGACAGTGTCTGTTTTTCCCTCACATTTGATTGGTCGTTTGGTCGGGTATAGAATTCTAGGTAGAACGTAATTTTCAGTTTTGAAGGCTTGCTCCATTGTCTGGGAATATGGAAACAGTCATTCTCAGCTGGGCATATAAGGAAGTCATATATATAACGCTGAGGCTGGAGTGGCCATTTTAGGCTGTGACAAAGTAGTAACAGAGCAGGGGAGTGTGCATGAAATGAAGGAGATACATAGAGATGTGAAGCCTTGCTGCTCCTGAGAGACTGAGATAGTAACTGTTTTGGGTTCTGTTGGCTTTCTGGTTTCTTACTCCAGAAACTTGAACTCATAAGGGCCAGCTTCTTGCTTTGTTATTTTTTCTCCTTTAATCTATGGCTGCTTGAGTGGGTTTCTGTTTCTCACAACTAAATGCTCTTTAAGACAACCATCCATTTTATTTCAAATCCATCTCTGTCCCAGCCTGAAGGCTCGGTGCCTGCGTTTAGAAATACAGCTACGTCTCTGAGAGAGCTCTGAATTGAGAATCAAGAGGCCTAAGTTTCTAGACCTCTGTCTGCTTTTACTGCCACTGTGGTCAGTGAGTGGCATTGGACAAGTTGCTTTACCTCCTTGTGACTCAGTCTCAGTGTCAATAAAGAGAGATGGCTGCATCAGTAAGATTTTTTAAATTAAAGACAAAATGAGATTACCTTTGTATACATGCTTTGACGAAAGGCAGGATTTGCCAGTAGAAGTGATGGAAAAGGACTGAATAATGGGAAGGACTCTTCCCGAGGAGACTGTCCAGGACCTGAAATAACTACTTCTGTCTCCAGCTGTGGACCCTGCTTACTGTCCCACCTGGTGGTGTTAGGGATATCAGGAGCTCACCTGTGACTGAAACGGAGAGAAAATGCCCCTGAAGGTGGATATCTGACTTCTGGCTTCTGGCACAACACTGGTAGGTCCCACTATCTGTCGGCGTGGTTTGGTTTATGGTAAACACCAACTGAGATGATATTTCACTGACACCATCTGTCCCAGAATACCGTTTAAGTCTCAGTTGCTCCAGGCTGGTCTCAGGGGAACAGTCTGAACCCCTGTCCTTGCACAAAAACACTATAACCCCCTCAGCCTCTTCTTTCTTAGACCACACAGTACAGATTAAGCTTAGTCGCTTTTCTTCCTGGGAAACTGAGCTGAGGATGTGCATGCATCCTGGAATGGGAAGGGAAGAATTAGCCATGGGAGGCCGGGTATACATGGTAAGTTAAACTCTTACATAGAAATGTTGAGGCAGAGATGGGGGCTGCCCCATAGACATGAAATACCCTCTCTTAGAAGAGTAGTCTACAGGCTGTACCCATATCTGAAGGAGACCTGCAACCCCAGCTATACATTAATTCAGAAATGGTCTCTATTTTACTTCTACTCTCCAACTAGAACTTCTAAAGGGGCTTTAACTATTAAAGTGCTTTTGTATACATCTAATCCTAGATACAGCCCTGGAGACAGGTATTAGTGTCCCCATTTAATAGATTAACAAACGGAGGCACTGGCGCTTAAATGGGTTTGCCGGAGTTGACAAATATTGTAGTATCTGGATCTCAAACTCAGATTTCATAAACATATAATGTGTAAGAGCCTGAAGGAATCTTAGATTGAGGGCCATATTACCAGGCTCTTAGCAACACATAGCAGAGGGAGGATGTCAGATGGGGAGGGCATTAGTATTAGTTCTGACAAAAAAGAAGAAGAAACTATATTTTTCACCCTTTCATTAGTGTCAAGAAGAGTGGGTCCTTTCCTTCCCCACCAGAAAAAAACTACGGGATCCATCCCTCCTCATGAGTCCAGGATTTTCCCTGATGAGTGTCTCCGCCCTGGGGATCTAGGGATGGACTGTTCTCACCACCAAGCTGGATGTTCACAATTGCCAGCAGAATGGCCAGGGCAAAGCAGCCTCCGCCAGGTGCCATCAGTGTCCTGCACATTGTCAGCGGCTCCAGGAACTCGAAGCAAATGTTGGCTCTGCTGATGTCCTTGGCCTCACTTTCCTGAAAGCACAGGGGGATGCCTAGTCAGGCCTTCCAGGGCCCCAAGACCATTTACTTGTTCCAGGCACTAGAGTCTGATGGAGGTGGAAGAGGGCTCGGGCGTGAGAGTCCAGCTGGCTGGGAGGTAAGATAGTAAATCAAGTGAGATGTAGAGATGAGAGGGACAAAAAGAGAAGAAACATAGGGCGACACGAAAGCCTATATTTTCAGATTATTTTTTTTTCTAAATTACGTTGGGTTGCTGGATCAAAGAATGTCAATGTTAAAATTTTTTTCTACTGTTATTATTTTTTTTGTACTATTATTATCATATTGCTCTCCGAAAAGGTGGTTGAGATTCAGATGTTCAACAAGAATGCTTGATAATGTACATTTTCTCATGCACTTGCCAGCACTAGGCATTATCTGTCTTTTACATTTTTGCCAATCTGATGGATGAAAAATTAGATCTCACTGTTGTTTTATTTTGCGTTTCCATGACTAGTGAGGGTGAGGACCTCTTCATATATGTGGTGGTCATTAGTATTTTCTCTTCTATGAATTGCCTGTTCATATTCTCTGCATATTTTTTTTAAATCAACTTTTAGAAGCTTTCTCTATATTAGAGATATTAACCCAGCTTTTTTTTTAAACAAACATTTCCTCCCATTTGGTTGTCTCTTTGTCTTTTTCCATAAGGAAAGTTTACCTTTGTGTTCAGTTAAGTTTAATACATCTATCTTTTCTTTTAAGTCATCTATATTTCCTGTATTGTTTAAGAAAGTTTCTCTCAGGCTGAGGTTATAATTTTCTTCCAAAATTTTTATTGTTTTACTTTTTATATTTATATCTTATAATTCTAGCTAATAAAAATTATCACCATATCAAAAAACTCTGAACAAAAACCAAGACAAAGAAAACACCTAAATTTTTACCAACACGGAAATGGTTGAATAAATTTTTTTTTTTTGAGGAAGATTAGCCCTGAGCTAACTATTGCCAGTCCTCTTCTTTTTGCTAAGAAAGCCTGGCCCTGAGCTAACATCCATGCCAATCTTCCTCTACTTTATATGTGGGACGCCTACCACAGCATGGTTTGCCAAGCAGTGCCATGTCCGCACCCGGGATCCGAACCAGTGAACCCCGGGCCGCCGAGAAGTGGAACGTGTGAACTTAACCGCTGCACCACCAGGTCGGCCCCGGTTGAATAAATTTTGATTCATCCACATAATAGACTATTATATGTATTATTAAAAAGAATGAGTTAGTTCTATAAATATGGGCCTGAAGGGATGTCCATAATATGCCATTATGTCAAACAAAGCAAATTGCAGAGCTACGTATATAAAATAAATACATTTTTATTTTAAAAAATTCTCCATGTAGATGTTTTTAAAATATATTTAAACACTTTTGTAGTTTATAAATTGGCCGTGAAAACCCTGTGAATAGCAGCGAAGCACTATCTGATAGAGAAGGTGAGAGGATGGCACAAAAAAGACTGGGCAGGGTTCTGCTCTGCTGTACACAGGGTCCCTAGAAGTTGGAATTGACTCCATGGCACTAACAAACTAGCCAATAATGCAAGTCTTAAAGAATCAGTATCATAAAGACCACATTCTCTGCCATAATGAAATTAGCATAGATGTCAAAAACAAAAAGATACATTAAAAAATTATATTTTCCATAAGTTGCTTCTTTTTCACCTGTCATTCTTACTTTGTCAGCAGGATGGTGTAGGGGAGGAATGCATAGGTAGAGGATGCTTTTGGTTATATTCTAGTTCTGTAGTTGTGCAGTGGGCTCATAGATGTTAATTATATTTCTATGTTCTATATTTTTAGATATGTAACATACTTTTGTACATATCAAATGATTCATTTAAAAAGATAACATATAAAGAAAAAATCATATATATGTATATATATATGCACCCACACTATGATACCATGTATATAAAATTGAGAACACAGAGATCTGAGAAAGTTTACCACCTACCGACCACTTATGAAAAAAATTACTCAAGGAGGTACTAGACAGCAAAAAGGAAGACAATGTATTATGACAGTAAGCTGGAAGAAACCCCAGCCATCGAATATGAGCTGGAGAATGGAAGACATCTGGAAAGAAATGAAAAAGGAGTCCTTTGACCTTGACACTGGTAACATTCTCTTATAAGAAGCACAGATTTAATATTGTAAGATATTTCTCTTTCCTTGAATATAATCATACTGCTTCATTTAATTATAAATAATATTTACATAATTGTAATATTGTTAGTGTTCCATATTGGTTTTTAATTTATGGAATGAAACTAGAGGCATAACATGGATCACTTAATTAGCGTTATAAAACAAATAAATGTTATAATCCTTGACAATATAGAAATTTAAAAAGTAACTTACAAAAATTAGATGAATTAGAGTCAAAGGAGAGGAGGAAAGAAGTCTGTGGTTTCCTCAGTTTTCAGAAGAGGGTAAAATATCATGTAAAATTGACAAAACAGTAAAGATTTAAGTATTCTATTTAAATTTATGAAGATGAGCACTAGAAGGACTAAAACATTAAATATCACTCAGAAATATTGGAAAGCAGGAGGTGGTGTAGGGTGTTCAGTTACTGATGGGGTGGTGTCATTAGATACTCTTTGAAGTATCAAGAAATAAAGGTATATAATTAAAAATTATAACCCTAGCCATCGGGGGATTAAATGGAAAATATTGAAAGTGGTGAACTTTAGATGGGGGGGTTACTGCGGGTAGAGGGGGAGGTAACTGTAAGAAGCATTTTTTTTCATTGCATAATCTTTTGTTTGATTTATTTTACCTTGTGGATGTATTACTTTTAATTTAAATTTTTTTAAATAAAAGAGTATATTGCAAAAACATAACCTATGAAAGAAAAATAATTTTTAGAAATGAAATGGAGGACAAGGAAAGAGAAATCCTATAATTATAGGGGGCTATTGTATGTCAGTCACTTTATATACCTTGAATCATTTAGTCTTCACAGATGTTATTATCCTCTCTTTTCAGGGAAGGATGTGTGTGTGTGTGTGAGGAAGATTGGATGGGGCTAACATCTGTTGCCAATCTTCCTCTACTTTGCATATGGGACACCTGCCACAACATGGCTTGATGAGCAGTGTGTAGGTCTGCACCCGGGACCCGAAACTGCGAACTCCAGATTGCCGAAGCAGAGCACGTGAACTTAACTACTATGCCACTGGGCCAGCCCCATCAGGGGAGGATTTTTTTTTCCTCCAGAGTATTCCCTAGATTTTCCTAAATCCAGAAAACCTGGGTGACACTCTTTCCAACTCTTGATGTCTCTGTTTCTTTGGGCTTGTCTCAGGTCCTCCTCTGTCCTCTGTTTCCTCATCTGTAAAGTGAGGAGGCTGCCTACTTCAAAATATTGCAAAAACAAACCCTCAACAGCACAAATCTAAATTTGGCATGTCCCCCATTTAAAAGATTTCAGTGACTCCATGCAGTGGGTATTTGTCATTCTTCTGGCTACCCAGTGGTATCTGTCAGGGAACTAGCCCCACCTTCCTTTCTCCCCCTCATTACTTTCCTGTGAGTGCTGATAAAAGGCAGAGCCCTGATTCTCTCTTCAGGAGCCCAAAGGACCAGATACACCTTCTTCCCGCCCTCTGAAAGCTGGGGTTAGACTAATGAGATTTTCCCATCAGGCCTTTGGATCTTGAGGGCATGCTGCAAAGATGAGGTGACAGTGGAATACTCCCTGGTGGGATTCCTTCATAGTCAAGTGCTCACCTTCCCACCCTCATCACTATGTCACAGCCGAACCAAGATCTAATTCACTGAATACCCGAGCTATCTTACAGCTGCAAATGTCTGCCCATGTTGTTTACTCTTCTGGAGATGTCTTCCTTTCTTTCTCTGCCTGATAAACTCTTAATCATCCTTTAAATTCCAGCTCATGGCCCTATGGGGGAAAACCACAATAGAATAAAAATCAAATAAACTAGTTGAATAAAGGGAAAAAGGAAGAAAGTGAAAATTAGAAATAGGAAAGGAGAAATAATCATAAATATAAGTGGAACTAAAAGTTATAAGGGATATTTTTGTATCACTCTATGCTAGAAACTTAGAAAAGCTGGTTGAAATAAATTTCTGTGAAAATACAAATGATAAAAATTGACTCAAAAACGAGAAAACCTGAAAGGCCAAATAACCCTGAAAGAAATTGAGAAAATTGTTTGATACTATCTTCCCAGAAAGCACTACTTTGGATAGTTTATAAGGAAATTTTTCAAGATGATTCTGATGCCATTTAAATTGACAGCATAGAAAAAGAATGAAATTTCATTTGCTTTTACTAATGTCAAAACCTTAAAAGAAAGCAAAAAGAGGACTACAGACCAATCTCACTTATGAATACTTATGTGAAAATACTAAATAAAATATTAACAAGCCAATCCAGCAGGATATTAAAAATATAATGACAAATGGGGTAGGATTAATTTTAGAAATTCTTGGATGATTTGATATTAGGAAATATACTAATATTAATTAATACGTTAATAGATCAAAGAAGAAAATCAATATTCTGACAAAATCTTACATTCATTCCTACTAAACCCCTAAGGAAAATGGTAATAGATGAATGTTGTTCAACCTAATAGAGAAATATATATCTCATAAAATTCTAGCATCATATTTAAAGGTAAAATATAAGATCATTTCTATTAAAATTAGAAGCAAGGCACAGATGCTTCCTATTACCTCTATTATTTTGCATTGTTCTGGAAATGTTAGCCATTGCATTTAGAGAAGAGAATAAAGTAAAGGATATAAATATTGGAAATCTTGAGGCAAAATTACTATTTATAGGGGCCTGCTGGTGACACAGTGGTTAAGTTCCCATGTTCCGCCTCGGCGGCTGGGGGTTCACTGGTTTTGGATGCTGGGTGGGGACCTATGCACCGCTTGTCAAGCCATGCTGTGGCAGGCGTCCCACATAAAATAGAGAAAGATGGGCAGAGATGTTAGCTCAGGGCCAGTCTTCCTCAGCAAAAAGAGGATTGGTGGCAGATGTTAGCTCAGGGCTGATCTTCCTCCAAAAAAAATTACTATTTATACATAATGTAACTTCCATCTGGAAAACCCGAGAGAATTAGTTAAGAATATTAGAAACAATGAAAGGTGGAGCATTGAATAGGCAGTTCACAAAGGAGGAAATGCAATGAAAAGTTGTTCAGTCTTACTAGCAGTCAGGAAAGTGCAAATTTTTAAAAATTCAGAGTTCAGAATTATGACCCAATAGATGAACAAAAATGAGAAAAAAGATAAATCCAATTCTGGTAAGGGTATGAGGAAATAGTCACAATCATTCACTCTAGGTAAAATATACCCTGTACCTTTGGCTCTATCTTACAGAAATAAAAGCATGTGTGTGCTGGAATACACATACAAGAATATTCACTGCAGTAGTGTTTATAATACAAATAAATTAGAAAAAAGGAAAGACCCATTGGTCAAAGAATTGTTGAATAAATTATGGCATATCCATAGTTTGGAATATTATGTAATCACAATTATATAAAATAATAATAAATTAATGTATAAATACATAGCATAAATAAAATTTAATAAGGTATTCACTTATAAAATGATTAATTTTCCTAGACACACTTTCCTAGATACTTGTCAGAACATATGATAGAAGAAGAAAATCCCATTCATTATAGCAACAAATGAAATGCTCATAAAATGCCCAAGAATTTAAAATGTGACAAGATTTCTATTAGGACATATAGGATAAAAATTATAAAGTGCTATTAAGGAACATAAAAGAAAATCTAGATAGAGACATTTGTTCATTTTTCCTATATTTACCTATTAATTTGTCACAATCCTAATAAAAATCCCAGCAGCAGCCCAGTAGTCTGTGCCCGCCACTGCTGCTCTAGCCTTGACCTCTTGCTCCCTCTCCTGTGTTGTCACACCGTCCTGCTGTACTGTCTCCTCCAGAATGTCCCACTGACTCTTGAAACAAAACGTTGAAAGTTTGGTGACATGCTTTGTGTCTAGCTACAAAGCATCGTCTGATTTGAAAAGGATAAAAAAAGGATTGCGATTATTCATTCAGCCCAGGATTGGGGTTAAAAGCATAGACTCCGGAGCCACACTGCTTGTGTCCATGTCCTGGTCGCAGAACTTACTAGTTGTGTGACATGGGCAAGTTCCTCAGGCTCCTGGGGCAGGCACTGAATAAATGGATATATTTGACGAACACTGAGCAACTGTGTCAGGCACCGTAGGGCACAGAGAAACTACTACGACAGCAGAGGCAGACTGTCCCGGTAGTTCAGTGCAGCCTCTAGAGTCAGAGGGACAGGTCTGTAATCTGACTTTGACATTTGCTAGCTGTGTACTATTGGGCAAGTTTTTTAATCTCTCTGAAAATTAGCTTATTGATCTATAAAGTGGTGATAATACTCTCTTCCCAGCGTTGTTGTGCAGGTTAAATAAGTAACCTGAGTAAACTGTTTACTCCAGCACCTAGCATAGAGGAAGGGCTCAGTAAATGCTGGCCATGATTATTTTTATGGTTCCTCATAACTGAGGCACATCTCAGTGTCCCAATCACATCCACATACATGATGGTGTTTAGTTCTTATAAAACACTGAGTTAGTATGGTTATTTAAAAATATGTCTTTTGTACTAAGCCTATGAAGGATTTGAGAAGCATTGTGACTAGTACAAAATTACAATTTCTACGTGGGGGAGCTAGGATGCTAACCCTCAAGTTAGGGGTCTTTCTCTTGGAGTTTCCTTTCCTTTCTTTCTCTTCTCACACTCACCATACATTCAGGAAAAGCTGCAACACATGGAGGGCTGTGGTAACAACGATAATGTCATAAAGTATATCAAGGAATAGGGAAGGAGAAATTCTGAGTGAGGGATCTGGAAAGAATGCAAGATGGCAATGGAATTAGGTCTTGAGAGATGTTTGCTGACTTTCGGGAGCTGATGCCTGACGCATATGGTGGTGACGTAAGGTGGGAAGTGGGCTGGGGAGATTTGGTTTCCAGTCTTGGCTCTGCACTAGCTGTCTGTGAGATGTCGAGGTCATGTCCCTTCTCCAGGCGCATTTCCTGAGGGACTGATGAAGCGGGATGGGAGGGAGGCGGGGTAGGGACTGCTTCCAAGAAGAGAGCGGGCTCTCTCGGGCTCAGCTCTCAGACAGGCTGGCCGGCTCGCAGGCGCTGATGCAGGAGTGGCTGGGCTTCGCGGTGCCTGGGGGGCGAGCTGAGGCAGAGTGTGTAAGTCTGTCGTAGGCCGTTCCCGAGGGCTGGGGGCAGGCAGAGGCCATGGAGAAATGATGCTCTTGGAATAGGTGACCTTGGTGCTCGGGATGCGGAGCACCCTAATGTGATGCAGGCAGGGCACCCCAGAGCGGGAACCGCTGCTTTTGCACTCTGGCCGCTAGAGGGCGCTGCCTTCCGGTTGAAGCCAGAGATGCCCCTCCACGCGTCCCGAGTTCATCAGCCCAGCGTTTGGCCTGGGGAGGCGCGGGAGCGCGGGGTCCGGCATGCGGGCTAGCCGGGGAAAACCTAAACTAGTAGCGGAGGTGTGGGAAGTGCAAGATTGGGTCTGGTGGGTCCTGGGGACGCGGACTCTACTAGAGCTGCAACTGGGCCTTAATAGACTAATAGTCGGGAGGAGGTGGTCGGAGAGGGAAGTCTGGGGACTTTTTGGGTCCACCACATGCCAGGGGCAGTTCTCATCTTCCTCATGAAAGTGGCGAGCGCCAAAGCCGGCAAGGATGAGGGTGCAGATTAGGTTGGCATCCTCACTTTTCAGTCTTCCAGGGGTTTCTGAACTACGTTGGCTGCCCATGGCCTTGGACTGTCAGGATGGAGAGATGGCAGCCGACAGTACATGCCCTCCTGTCCCCGACTTTTTAAAGTGGGAGGCACGTGGAGTTCTGGATTCAAATGCAAGCTTCGTGTAAGCTCGGGCACGTTATTAAGCTTGCTCAGCCTCACATTTCTCTTGTGTTTAAAGTTCCCTCATGCGAACGTTGTGACGATTAAATGACACATGAAGCTGATCCCAAGGTTTTCTAGCAAGTGGGAACTGTCACTGGTGGGGACGAGATTGTAAGGATTGGCCATTCTCTCTGCTGCCAAAGCCCAAATATAACTTTTGAGAGGAGCTAGAAGGTTAGCAGTCAGCTCCACAAATACCTCTAATTGCAGATCTCCCACAAAACCAAGAAAGATGCCCGGGCCCAGAGACGGAATCACATCAATCACTACAGCCCCAACTTTACTTAAAGTAGAAACAGCCTTGTAAGAAACAGAGGTGTGGTCAGGAGGCCCTTGGAGTATTTGTCTGCTTTTCAGACTTCTGGCTCTGGTCTCTCTCAACAACCTTCAAGGCCCTCTCAGCCTTGACATAGATGCGCCGTAGACACTTTTGGTCGTCTGGTGAAGCCTGTGGATCCCCTTCTCAGAATAACATTTAAAAATTAATAAAATAAAATATATAGGATAACAGAGGAAACAAATTATATCAAAACAGTTGTCCGCACATTAGAAGCATGTGTGATAGAGCAGTATATGTACTTCTTTAGATCTAGCATTGGCCTAAAAACTATCGTAATTCATAGCAGTGATGAGTGTAAATGACGTTTTGAGAAATCTGTAAGAACTGTAATGACATTTGAAAATATCTGATTTCTATTGTTGGCAAATTCTATTGTGGTTTGTTGCCTACATTCGTAATGGAAGCAAATGCTAACTTTCGATTAGAGATTGGTGCAAATAAAGATGTAATGTTTCCCCCAGATTCACAAATCCCATGAATGAATCCCTGGACCCCCGGTTAAGAATGCTTGCAGAACAGGTTCCTCATTTTGAAACTAGGGAGACTGAAGCAACCAGGTCTTCTGATTCCTAGGTGAAAGGTCTTCCCACTAAAGAGCATAGCTCTGGAACTTGGGGAAAACTATCTCTAAACCATTATTTTCACCCTGGAATTCCCAGGTTTACTCCGACAAAATCATGCCGGTGGCCTGAAGCCTCCCTTGTTTTTGTCACCCTCAGCACATTCATCTGGGATGTGAACTTCCCCCAGAGGTGCCTCACAAGGCCAGCTCCAAGCTCAAGGGAGCACAGTGGTTTGCCCCAGTTCAGGCTTTGAGGGGTTAAATAAAGAGGTGATCCAAATCTTGCTAACTCTCCTCCAGTAACTATCTCCTTTTTATTGATATGAATGACCCTTTGTCATTCATCCCCTATGAGCCCTGAACAAAAGAAAGTAGCCTGGAGGATTTAGAACAGCATAAGGGATTTAGGCTCTGTCAGGTATGGCTACTTCAAGGAGTTCACCTGGATTTCCCTCCTGTGAACACACAGTGTGGTTCTTTCCCATCTGAGGAAAGAGCCACAGGGGCCCATGTCCCTGAAGGTGTGTTGGGGAAGGGCCAGCATGTCGGCCCAGCTGGCACATGTGACATTTCTTTTTCCCAGGCTCCTGAGGGTAAAGGGCATATCCCTTCAAGAAATGGGGTTTCTCAGGGACCTCACTGGAAGCCTATCCTTGCCTGAGCAGTTTTGTCAACTGTCCCATCCCTGGTCCCAACCCCAGGTCCCCAGGGGCCCTCTTTACCTCAGGACAGAAGTTCTTCTTTCCTGCTCTCAGGCTGGGGGCTCTGGTGAAAGCACTTCGAATGAGCTCTCAGTCCTTAACTTGTTATTTATTCTTGTTGAAACCCCATCTCCCACTTCCGTCATTGTTCATGCCTTCATTACTGAGATGTATGGTCTTTGAAAACCACAGAATTGGGGTTTTTCTTTTAGCAGTTGGGGGTCTTCCTGTCTCTCTCTCCTCCACCCCCACTGTGAATTTTTTTCTCCTTTCTCTCCTCCACCTCCTCCTCTGCTGCTGTCTCGTTTTCCTCTTCCTTTGTGTGTATGTGTTAGAAATAGGCTAAGGTGCTGAAAGTGCTGAGAAAAACCACTCCTTGAAATTGTTTTCTTCACCTTGAGGGACAAAGATGTTTCACCTGATAATTCATAGTAAAGATGAGACTGGTAATAGAGTAACTGGGAGGTATAAGAACAGAATGTGCCCTCAGGTATAAAGAAAGGTGCCAAGTCTTTTCCTGAGAGAAAGTTTTGCTTAGGAGTAGGACAGAGAACAGAGCTGCTCCAGGCTGAAGGGGAGGAAGGGCAGGGAGTTATCAAGGGAGGCTAGTGGGAGTGGGGGCAGCCAAAATGGTTGGATGACTGACCTTATTTCCTCACGTATGACCCCCTCACCCATTTCTGTTCTGTTCTGTTCTGTTCTGTTCTTCCTTGGTCATTGATGGCTGAGGAGATGCAATGAGTATTCCTAAATTCTAGGATTGTGCACTTTGGTGCAAAGAGCATTGGTCTGAGAATTAGAAGCTTTGGGTTCTAATCTTCGCAAGGCTGGGACAGGATCTGTGCCAGAGAGGACCCAGCACAACAGGAAGCCCCATGGTTCTGGAGCAAACTTCTGTCATGATTTCCAACCAGTGCTGGGCTACCCAGGAGTCCAAGGGGTGTCATAAGAAGTGGGTTTGGGGGAAAGTTTTCATGACTCATTTAGAGTCACTCTCGCCATTGTATGGACAGGAATCCCTTTTGTTATGGTATTCCATGGTCTTTAAAACGGTAAGGTGCTCTGGGGCTTGAGGTCCTTTCAGGTGGCCCCACTGAAGCCATTGTCCTAAATGTTGTTAGATGAGCCAGATATCAGGATCATCTCCTTATTCCACCAAATTGTTCAGCTTTTACAACAGAATGAGGCAATTTCAGGAGCCTGAGGGATAGAAACCGATGTTGGGGAGGAGGGTCTTTCATCCCATCTACTAGTCTCTCACCACCATCCTGGTCACAGGACCAGTCCACCTCAGCCCACAGGACATCTGGCCCCACAGGCATAAACCTTTAAACTGAGCCTGGTATCTGGTAACCCAGTATCCTTATTTGCTGTCCCTACAGTAGTGGTCAAATTTATGGCCTCTCTGTTCCCTAAAGTGAAGATTTGTTCATACTTCTCTCTGTGGGATACTTGGAAAGTTGGCTACGAGGGCATTCAGCATTTCTCATCCTCCAGGGGCTATACAACAATGATAATTACGAACACAAGATAACAGGGCTATAGATGCGTGTAAGTGGGGCCAGTTGGCACCAGCAGACACATGTATTCACATAGGTTATTGCAGAAACCTCAAAGTTCTGCAAAGACCTCAGGGCTTGAAATTGAATCACAGAAGGCTTGCTTCTTGCCAGTCGTGCAGTGTCTGTCCATCCTGCAAACAGTTGCATACGTAGTTTTCTTAAAATGCTGCTTCTGATCACTCCTCACTGAACGTTATCTTGCGTTAGGCACTGTCAGGTCGATGTGACTGAGGACCATCCCGCTCTCAAGGAAAGCACGCTCTGTTGGGAAAGGTCCCATCCCTGTGAGATGAAGCAGAATGTGCCAAGTGCTGTAAGTCCTCCAGAACTGAGAGGAAAGTCAGAAAGGAGAGAAGGGAGGAAGAAAGGGAGACTGCCTGTGTACTAGATAGTGTTAGGCACTTTCGTGGACAAAGTGACATTTGAATAGAAATTTTAAAGAAGTAGGATTTCAAAGGCAGGGGTAGGTGTTTTTCAGCTGTAGGAACATTTTGAACAAACAAGGAGTGGGGACGTACCCGGCTTGTTTGGAAACCAAGGGAGCAAATGAGGTGGCTAGAATGTAGGCTGCATCCTGGTGGGGGCCTGAGGGGCAGGCCCTCGCCTACAGCCTCTCAAATATTTATCCTGTTGGCCTTTCAATGTCTAACGTTCCTGAGTCCAATTACACAATTTAGCAACTGATACATTGTTTTCAAGATATTACTAGTAAGTGATCAACATGAAAAGAAAATCTGGTTAAATGTTAAGTCATATTTTTTATCTTACTTCTGTAGAATTGTGAGGCCTTAGAAATGGAAGGAACTGTGGCAGGTGTCCCACGTATAAAGTAGAGGAAGATGGGCATGGATGTTAGCTTAGGGCCAGTCTTCCTCAGCAAAAAGAGGAGGATTGGCAGCAGATGTTAGCTCAGGACTAATCTTCCTCAAAAAAGAAAAAAGAAAGAAAGAAAAGAAATGGAAGGAACTAAAGCAGTCATCTAGTCCAGTACCCGGCAGGGTGCAGAAACTTCTATGCCAGTGGTTCTCAGATTTGAGTGAGTATCAGAATCACCAGGACGGCTTATTAAAATACAGATGGCCAGGCCCAGCCACAGAGTTTTGGATTCAGCAGGGGTGCGGTGGGGTCCAAGAATCTGTACACCTAACAAGTTCGCAGGTGCTGCTGCTGCTGGAATGCCCCTTGCAAGCTGTTCTATGTAATACCTCTTGCGCCCTCAGCCTTCATCTCTCTCGTGGTGTGTAGCTTGTTCTCACTCAACATTCTCTGTTGAACACTTTCAGCTGTTTAAAAATTCTTCCTCATGTTGCCTCTACTTGCCTCCCTTTAACTGCCAACCGTTGCTCCTAATTCTGTTGGGGGCTCCACACAGAGCTTGTCTCTGGATGGTGGTGAAGTCCCAGGTACAGGAGTCAGACCATCTGGGTTCATCTCCTGACTCCACCACTGACTATGTGACCTGGGGCAAGTGTCTCAACTTTTCTGAATTTTCCTCATCTGTAGAATGGGAATAATAACAGCACTTACATCCAAGGACTGACGTTTAGATTAAATGAGAAGATGTATGTAAAACAATTAGCACTGTGCTTGGCACATGGTAAGGACCCAGTAGATGTGGGCTGTTATCCGTGCTTAGTTTCCTTTCTACGTGGGAGTCTGTCAAATCTCTGAAGAAAGTGAATCGTTCTCACTAACATTTCTCCTCAATGAGCTAAATATCCCGAGTTCCTCCCAACTATTCCTTACGGCACAGTTTCAATCCTTGTCCCTCTCCTCTGAACAAAGACTAGCTTGTCAAGCTCCCTTGTCAAGTGTGTGTGGGGCTCAGACCTCAGCATAGTCAGAACCTCATCTGTTCGCTGAAGCCAAAGATCATTTTAGCTTTTGTGACTAATTTCCACATTTTACTCAATCATAGCGGACTTTTAGGTAATGAGTATGCCAGAGGCCACATCTGCATGTAGAGAGAAAATTTTACTATTCTGTCACACTTCCCCTTGAAGCTTGTCTGGTGTCGATGAAGATAATCCATAATGAATCTATAAATGAAAATTTGGGTGAGTTTATTCTGAGCTAAAATGTGAGGACCATGGCCTGTAGGAAGAAAGGGCACCAAAGAAGTGGGGTGCACGGAGTGGTTATATACCCCCAAAGAGGATGTTTCACGTATGATTGAAATGTCCCTTTTACAACAGTCGTGAGACTGCTCTGTTGGCCCAGCGATTGATGGACACAGCAGGTAGGTCTGCTGTCTCAGTGAACACAGCAGGGTGGCAGGTCTGTTGTCTTGAGCTGGGTGGTCACAGGTGAGCTGGGTGGCCAAAGGTGAGCACAGCAATCAGTTCCTAGCCTAAGGAAAGATGCTTATCCTTACGGAAATACCAATGTAGGGGGAAGTTGCACCTTTATCTTAAGGCCATTTGTTCTTGCCATAGTAAATATTTAAAGCAGATGTACAAGGCACACTCAATGGCCACTGTCAGGCCCTTTTGGAAAAAACAAAGTCAGGCTAAATTAGGTTTACACCAGATGGCTTCCTCATATACTCCAATATATCCTATTGCCTGCCATTTCTATTTGTCACTGGCTACATCCACACATGGCTCTTACTGTGAGCTTGTGGGGTGTTAGTTGTGGAGAGCACCTCTGATCCTTGGTCTGATTTGGGGCTTACATTTGCTTTGTGACTGGCCTAACAGTCAGCAGCCCAGGTGACTGGAAGGAAGCACCTCAGAGGCTGACAGAGAAGAGGGGTCTAGTACCCTTTTCTGCCTTGGCCTCAGCCCCTCCTGGCTCCACGGGCCTGATGAGAGACCCAGCATCTCCCCTGGAGAAGAGTGAACTGACTCCTCTGGCACAGCTGACAGTCTTCTGGAAGGAAACCAAACCTCAGGGCCAGAGGGCACTTAGAGCAAAGCTGTGTAGGCATTTCAATCCCCACCCCCAGCCACCGTCCCCACTGGCCTCTTGCCCAGAGTACTTGGTTATGTCATGTGAGCAGGAAGTCAGCACTGTTTTGTTGTGGAGACAGAGTGGCAGCTTCAGGGGTTTGAGTATCAGGATAACAGGGCAGGTCCTGGAAAGAACGCCTCTCTCAGTTGCATTTCTAATTTCCAGTCTGTAGTGACTGGCTGAGCAAGGATACTGTCTTCAAGCTCTGTCTTTTTAGATAGGAGGCAGAGAAATCTGTCTGCTCAAGTCACTGTGGTGTCCCGGAGAGTCTGTCTTGTCCCTCCCTGGTCACAGAGGACACCAGGTTCCTTTGCAGCCAGGCCTCCTGCTGACCGGAGACCAGGCCCGCAGGGCTGCTGGCTCAGCAGCCCAAACACTGCCATCTGCTCTGCACACTGGTTTGTACAGGGATAACCTGTTTCTACAGGACAGACCAGCCTGATAGCAGAAATGGCTGCAGTCACAGCTCTGTCTGTCCTCTGGTCTGGGGTGACCCCCTGCCACCAGCACAAATCCACACTGTGCTGTGTGAACAAATAGGAAGAGGTCTCCTCTCTCCAACTCAGGACCACACTGCCTCCTGGATGCCAAAGTCACACAGCACATGGCCTTGTAGCTGCAGATCCCCCATTTTCCTCAGCTTATTGCCTCCTGAGAGGTGCCCCGCAAGCCATAGCCATGTGAATCCCAGAACCGAGCTCCTCTCTCACACTCTGCCAAGCTCTGTCTTTGGCCAAAGGAGTTGAGGAAACACCTCCCGGATTTTGCGACATCTGCATTTCCTCAGCCTTCTGACAGCCACCAGGAATCCCAGGCCTTCCTGGTGCCTAATTCTTTGAAGAAGGGATTTAATACTTTGCTCTCCAGGATATTTCCAGTATGATCGAGGGGAAAGGAAAAGATAACATTTAGCAAAGGACATGCTGCTGAGGGTGGAATTGCAGGCACCCCTGTAGCTGGCGGGGCCCAGAGGCTGCACTCCACCTTCAGGCAAATCACACTGGACCAGCCGCATCCTGACTTGGGCTTCTAAGAAGAAAATGTACCTTCTTCAGCAGATAGTGAAGGCAGGCAGTGCTTTTTTTCTGGCATGTTGGAATTCTAAGCAATGGGGAAAATCACAGTGCGCATGGATTAGTTTACTCTCCAAACTAGAATGTCAGGGGGCACTGGACCCATTCTGATGGAGGCAATACTTGGAGGCAGGGATGTCTTTTAAATCATGCCACAGACTTGGACCCACTAGACTGTTCCTAGTCTTCATTCTCTCTCACTGGCCCTTTACCCGTGGACAGGATGGTACCCAGTCTCTCTGTGGGAAGTGGAGTCAGGCAGGTGCTGTGGCTTTGAGATCCCTGGCACTTTCCTTGCTGTTCTCCATTCCCAGGCTGGTCCCTCTAGGGGCCCTGAGAAGCTGGCTCTTTAAGACAGGGTTCCAACTTCCTAAAGACCACTGGTCCTTTGTCTCTCTGTCTCTCAGAGAGAGGCAAACACAGACCCTAATCCATACTCTGAGAGCGCCCAGACTTTGGTACATGCAGGAACCCAGGACGTGGATTGTTCTTGCTCTGCGCCTCAGTTTTTCTTTTGATACAAAAGGATTTTGTATTCTGAACCCTCAGCTGGGAAAAGGAAGAGGGAGGGAATGACTACTAAGGTATTTTTTGCAGCCAGCTTGCAAGTGTTAATAATTCACAGCTCTCAGGGGTCCTCAGGCCTCTCCTGACCTGCCCTGTGGTTGCTGAAAAAAACTCCACAGTTCAGATCAGCAATCACGTGGGGCCACAATGTGTGATACGGCAGAGGAGAGTGGCTTTGCCCCTCCTCTTGCTCATCTGCTCACACTGCTGTAAAACATATATCTCAGTTCTGCATCTGGACCCTGGCCTAATAAATTCCTCCAAAGGTATGCAGAGTACCCGGATTGCTTCTTCAGGTGGTGGATGAAGCGAGAGTAATAAAGGGACTGTCATAAACATTGACTCAGGACAGCGATAGAAAACCACTGGAGCTTGAAATGCCAGGCTCTAGGCAAGTTAATGAGCTACTAAAAAGACAAGATAATATTGGGATAATCAGATCTGCAGTTGGAGTGAAAATATAAGGATATCAGGGATGGATCTCAAATGCAAAGGGTAGAGGCTGGAACTGTACTGAGCCAGGTAGACTGGGGTAGTAGAAAGCTTATAGGCCTTGGAAATAAAAGTGCAGGGTTTTAGCCATGGCTCTGCCATAATCTTGGGGTGACCTTGGCTAAGTCATTTTACCTCCCATGTCTTTGTTTCATAGTCAAAAAATTGAGGTGGTACAACTCAACAAGAAAAAAACCCCAAACAACTGATTAAAAAGGACTTGAATAGAATTTCTCCAAAGAAGATACACAAATGCTCAATAAGCA